TACTACTACTACTACTACTACTACTTACTACTACTACTACTACTACTCTCTCTCTCTCTCTCTCTCTCTCTCTCTCTCTCTCTCTCTCTCTCTCTCTCTCTCTTATACATTATATAAAAATGACCAACAACGAATCTTTCGCGATTCTTCGTTCGTTTACAACGTCCAATCCAATTCTCCGTTTCTTCTGGATTATCGATAAAAAAAGAAGAAAGAAAGAAAGATTGGATGGATAGATGAAAAGAGAGAGAGAGAGAGAGAAAGGTAGGCATAAATTTAAGCCGGGATAAATTGGAGCCGGGCGAAAAATTCGAAGAGGGGGTTTCGCATCCGGCGAAATTCGCGAATAACGATCGCGAACGTTTCAGGCACACGTGGCAAGCGTGTAACGCGCGTATGTGGCACCGTGTCTGCATTATCCCCGCCATAAGACGTAAACGCCATGGCATCCGTTGGCACGATCTCGTGCAACGGCCGAGGGAATCTGAAACAGTTGCGAGTGCGACGCGCTTACGTGCGCTGCTCCAGCTGCGGAAAACGCGGGAAAACAAGGCAACACAGTGACCATCTGTAGATTATATAAAATTTCGTGGATCACTATTCGTCCTTGTTACCTATCTTTGATATTACGGGTTCGTAGGATTTTTGATCGATCATTTTTTTCACTTTGGCAGAAGAGAACTTCCCTCTTTCCTTTATTTCATTTTGTTTTTTTTTTCGTTTATTTCTTTTTTTTTTTTCATTCCTAGATTCAGAAATAAATTTTCGAAGAATTCGCTTCTCGCAAGTGTATATATCGATATTTCGTCTCGAGCCATCAATTTTCCACTTTGGATTTGTTCTTTTTTTTAAAAGGCATGCGAAGCGAGGAGAAATTCGTACTTTCGTTGGACGAATAATATTCGATTCTCGCGGAGAGATCGTTCGAAGATCAAACGAAACGAATGGGACGAAACGCTTTTATGATGATCGATCGTCGTTTTCGCCTGGGATTGAGAAGAAAAAACAAACCATCGATTTGTTCGCCTTTTCTTTTCTTTTTTTTTTTTTTTCGGCCCGACTAACGGTCTATACTTTCGCTCTTTTCGCATTCGGATAACGGTACCATTGTCCATGATTTATGGATCGTTCCTCGAAACACGTAGACGCGCGCGCACTTTCTTCTTCTTCTTCTTCTTCTTCTTCTCTCGTCTCTGTCCAAGTTATCGCAAAAGTTGACAAGACCGCGATAAAAACGCACTCGCGAAGAGATATTCGGTGAATCACGTACCTGGTGGAATATAATTTATGTCGCCAGAGAGCCAGATAAGCGTTATTTGTGCAGATATTTGCATTTTTACGTTGCGTCGAGAGTATCACAAGTATTTCGCCGATTATAATATTATTCGCGGTGTAGAACGATAAAAATCGCGTCGAGAATCGTGGAAACGATCGATTCACATTTACCGGGAAACTATTATTTCCTTCGATCGACGAAAATTTTGTTCGATGATTGTGACGTGGCTCTCGCATGATTCATATACATTACGACTCCTTCCAATCGATAAAAATCTCTAAAATTATGCAATACCTCATCAAATGACTCTAATCTGACCATTGTTCCTCTCTGCATTTTTTCTCCGTCCCATTTTATCTCTCTCGTCTTTTTTTCTTTCTCTCTCTTTTTTCTTTTTCATCTCTCGAGTTCGAACCACGAGTTGGATTCGCAAGAATGCGAACGATTCCGTTTCCTTCGACGATTCTTTCCTGAGAGAAGAAGAAGAAGAAGAAGAAAAAAGAAAAAAATCGAAAAACGTTGCGAAACAATAAGAATGATCGCAACAATGATATTTTTAGATATTCGTAGAATCATATTACTTACATCAATTACACAATTAAAGAAAATAAATGGAATCGTGAATTAGAAAGAAAAAGATAACATTTTTTTCTCTTTATATACCGATATTTTTATACCGATTATTATATACCCGTGAAAAAAAAAAAAAGGAGAGAAAAGATTCCTGAAAGATTCTCTAGAAACCGGAAACAACTATCGCGTCATCGTCGCATCGTCGTACGGGAGCTTGCCTTAAGCGTGACGCAAATTCATCGGCATCCTGTTCACCCCCCTTACTACCTCCTGTTTCGTGTCAATCGACCAATGAGACGGCGCGTCTCGGGCGAAAGAGGGAAGGAAAAAAAAAAAAGGAAAAGAAGGAAAAGAGAAAAAAAAAAGGAGAATAATATAAAAGAAATAGCGCAGAAGAAACACGTCGATTAAACAGTGACACCGATTGCCGGCCGTAGGGACGAGGAATGGTGGGATTCCGCGAACGGAAGGGCGGTGTGGATGCCGGAGGAAAGTGAGAGGAAACGAAGAAACGATGGCAGAAAACAGAACTTTGCTCCTCAACGGCCGTGAGTCATCGTCGCGTGGCCACTTCCACCGACTTCATTCATCCTGGACGAAGAAAAGTCATCGTCGCCGTTCCTGATTCCAAAACTTCATTTCACTTTCTCTCCTTCTTTCTTTCCTCTCTCTCTCTCTCTCTCTCTGTCTGTCTCTCTCTGTCCTACTCTGAGAAAGGAACTCACGAGGAGGAAACGAGTTACGAACACAAGGCAAGACAAGCGACAAGAAAAGGGCGAGTTTCGGAGTCGTGAAAACGGAAAGAAGAAAGGTAAATCTCGGTGAGCGAATAGATAGTAAAGAAGGAGGAGAGGGCGAGCGGAGGTGGAGTGAGTTTGATATTTTAAACGGAGATATTCATTCGTGAAGCGAGAGGATCGGGTGGCCAATGGAGGAGCCACAGAAGCTGTTTCGTCTTCCCGGCACGATCGAGGAGGAGGAGGAGAAGGATAACGAGGACAGAAGGCAGCTGCAGGAGAATCCGAACACGGCCGACTCACCCTTGCTCGAGCAGAGGAACACGGGAACCTTGTCCAGCCTGCCCAGATACGTCACCCTGGTCAGGGTGAGCACCCAGAGCAGCAGCATCGGTGGTGGCGTCGGTCGCCAGGATTCTACCAGGTGAGTCCCGATATTTCTCGTCTTTTTTTTTCCATCGATCACGACGAAATCGGATAATCTTTAATAAGATGATCCGTATAAGAAAATTTAAAGTCAAAGATTCGATCGGTTCTGCGATATATTTTGCGTAACGCGTGAAGAGAAAAAAGTGCGAGCGTGATTAGATGATGATGGAAAAGCAAACGTAATCGCGAGACGATTAGAGAACGAAACGGCGGACGACGAATCACGTGGCCGATTCTCAAGGTAGCGTATCTCGGGAATATCGTTCTCGGCAAAAAAGATGGTTACGTTTTTGTTTGAGCTAGTCATTCGCGACGTGTTCTGGCGCCGGCCGTCTACACGCGGCTTCGAAAATATCAATTGGAAAAATATCGATTTATCTGTATCGTGTGAAATTAAAAAAAAAAAAAAAAAAAATGTATATGTATATTTCAAGGGCAATTGTTCAAGTTCAAAGTTATCGAACCAAGTTATCGGGATCGATAAAATTAATTAGCGATTCGGATGTAACGCGTGGATATATGCGATCGTCTTGCATAATCGCCGACCGAACGTCGCTTTTTACCGGTCATTTATCATGGCGGTTTCATCGTTGAAAAACATACACGCCGAGTAATTCTATAGTTACTCTTCGTCGCGTACACTTGTCAATCACCCATCATCGATCCATCACCAGTTGCAATTTATCGAGCCCTGTTAACGCAAACGGGACGCGATACGTTTCCACTAAACTAAACTGAACCGTTCCCTATCCAATATTTACGCCACACTGTTTACCCTTCCGTCTCCAATTTCAATTGTCAACCTATTATCAACCTGTCGTAGTCGTTTATCGAACGAAGTCGAGAGAAACGCGTATTATTACGCGTCAATTGTAAAATTTATGGGAACGAAAAAGGAAAATACGCGCGGCGTTCGCGTGTTAACTCGTGTTAATCGAGAACATTCGTGGAATGTTCGTCGATGAAAAATATGTTTAAAGTTGTTAAGTTAGAGGGGAAAAAAAATAAACATATCTAGATACGTTAGATTTTAATTAGGCGTGCGTTATACGAAGAATTCTATAATATATATATATATATCATATCGATGAATGGAAAAGGTATTGGTTTCTTCGAGAATTTCTTCGTTTCGCTGGAATCTTAATTCCTCGATTCTCTCCGCGTGCTTTGTTTGGAGCGGAAATTCCATGGCAAAGAGAATACTTGAGCAAAACAGCTATCTCTTCTTTAATTGGAATAGCGGCGAGGATATGTATAACAGAAACGGGTTATGGTATTTTTATTAAAATACGGATATTTGATTGTTATCGATTGTTATCTCAATTTATTATATCTCGGATTTAATTTCCACGGATAACGTTGACGGAGTACGTTGATTCACCTTGCAAGAAAGGTCACCGAATTAATCTGTGATCGCGGAACCAGAGAGTTAATCGCGGGAACTCGTAACGATTCCTCGCGAATGTATCGGATTTCCCGTTCCTGAACGAAAGACGATCTTCGAATCCAGACGGTTCTTCCGTATCGTAACGTCTTTCGAGTTAATAATACGCGTCAAGTACGCGAATTAATCAATTTGAATTTTGAAGAAGAAAATTGAGACGCGTCTCCTCGAAATGAATTCTGCGACGAAATATTCCAGAGAAGGAATGCACGAGTTATCGTTATTATTATTACGCTCGATTAATCACTGCGGACGATAATAAATAGATAAGTATTATCTAAGCCGATAGGAGGCAGGTAGATTGAAACGTTAAACGTTCGGTAATCCAATTATTACCTCGACTAATCCTGTATCAACACGGATTAAAGATGCAACAGATAATCGTGGTAATCGATATTTCCGGATATAGAAATGAAATATCGCGTTTATTCGAAACGATATGGAGAAAGCTCGCGCAAAGATGAAGAGAAAAATTGTCGAAATTTTCAAACCCACAATCTCGATATACTCTTCGATTTCGTTCCCGTCAATTTCACAGACACCGGCTCGTTGTTTCACCAATCTCGTTAATAGCTACGTAATTAACAGCTCTCAGAAAAATAAATTCACTCTCCTCGCTCGCGTGTTTCGTTTCGATCGAGCGAAATTCTTTTTGCGTGAAAATTTTCGAGTTAAAAAAAAAAAAAAAAAGAAAACTAAAGAAAAAGAGAGAAAAGAATCGTCGACTCGGATGGTCGAAAAGGAAAAATCTTCGGCCGAGCGAGGAACTCGGTGGCTCGTTCGATCTCGTTAGTTTAATTAAAAGCTCGTTATCGAAGCCGTGGACGGTGCGGTTGGACAGCTCGCAATAAGAGGCTCGACCTACAGTCCGCTTTAACGCGCCCGATCATATTAATGCGCCGCTTTTGATCCATTTTAAACGGTCGGGGAAAGGTGAGGTGGCGGTAACCGGAAGTGGGCAGCTGGATGTCGTGCGAGGGGAGATCGAGCGTATCGATCGGAAGAAGGACGAGATTCGTCGCGCATCGATCGTGCAAACGGCGCGAGAAACGAGACTGCTGGTTGGTTTTCTTCGAAGAGGTAGAATATATACCTTTTTCTCTCTCTCTCTTTCCAGCAAGTATAACACAAGTATTCTTTTTTTTTTTTTTTGTTCTTTCCTTGGTAAAATATGATTATGAACGTGTAATATATTCGCATGAATATATATATATATATAAATGAAATTGTTTTAAAAATATATATATTCGTCGACGAATTTCAATTACGTGTATATATTCGTGGAACTTGTTTCTTTTTTCTTTTTTTCTTTAAGTACTTTTCTCCTTCTGTTTTGTAAATTTTTCATATCTGTCGAGTCGGGATTATCCCGTATTACGTTGCAAGCAATTAATCAACTATGACAATGGCAATCATCGAGCAGAACGAGATTTTTCCATATGATCGATACAGAACCTGTTCGAAGACTCGATTTGCATGCAATCGGTCGTCATCGGTGAATGGAAGCTTGATGAATTTTTTTTTCCTTTTCCATTTAAAGTCGGAGTTGTTTTAAACCGCCGTGGGGAAACGTGTTATACCGCCAATTCAAACGAATTGGATAATTCACGGAGAATTTTTACGGCGAGGATGAAAATGGAGTTGGACGTGTATTTTTGTGGAAAACGAAGTAAAGAGGCAGAGGAATAGATGTCCCTCTATATAGAGTTATATAGTTGTGCAAACACGCGTGAGGCCACGCTTTCGAGCTTGTCGCTCCTCTCGAGAATTAATATCGTTCTCAATTGACGCCTACAAACGATACGACCTCTTCTGCTATGGGATAGCGCCATTATAATGCGAATAAATTACTAACAGCTAATGCGATTCAACGTTTACCGGTGTGTTGATCGACCCCTTCCGGTTTCGCCTCGACGAACGAACTCTTCCCAATATTTTTTCGTGCAAAACATTCTGCCCGAAACGTTATATACGAATCGATCGGAAGAGAAAGAAGAATTAATGGTTCTCTCGCGATCGTTTAAAAATCGCCACCTATTCGAAAATCAAGGTTTCCCAAGCTTGACAAATCGGCAGAGAGACTTGGCGAAAAGATAAGTCGTTCGAGATAAATCATAACGCGTGATACCTTGGCAAACGTAACACGTTTCGAGTATCCACGAAACTAATACGTGTTATATAGATAAAGCGTGCAAATTGACTCTACGACTTTCCACTATCTCGCGCTACCGAATATCTAATAATTTTTTCACGCCACGTCTATATATTCCTGTGTACAAAGTGTACAAATTCGATCGCAATATCGATCTCGAATCGGTATCGATTCTCTTCGAAAGGAATAATCTGGAAGCGTTATTTCTCTGTCGGGAATCGCTTATCTCGTTATAAATAAAAAAAGGACAATTTTCGAGCGAAATCGATAAAAAAAAAGAAGCGATTATCGATGGGGTGGAGAATCGAGAAAAATTCGCTTTCGCGCTCGTTTCGATCACCGATTTCGAGCGTGCGATAAGGAGATTGTGGCTGCCCGCTGATAACACGTGTCCCGCGACTTTCAGCGATTCGAAACGAGAATCAGTGAAAGATCGGAAACTCGTGGCGCGATGAGGAGGAGGGACGTTATCGGCGAGTGCACCTCCTCCTCGTCCTCGGCGAGAAACAGATAGTGCGAATTCAGGGTGACGAGTGTATCAAACCGCGAACCTTGTTCTCCTCTATTTCTTCGAAAAGATTCTCTCTCTCTCTCTCTTTTTTGCAATAACGGCAGATAGCGTTTAATGTCCCTTGGACGAATCGCGAGGTGGCTCGCGACACTATAAAAAACCAGTGATTTTTCGAAGAAGACGAGCTCTGGTCTAGAGGAACTCTTGGATAGTTGTTGTTAAAGGTAAAAAAATTCTTGGTTTTTTTCTTTTTTTTTTTTCATGAGAGTTTACAAAAAAAGAAAAAAGAGCGGGGAAAGTATATTCGCGCGTAGAGTGAAAAGGAGTTTGTTCGAGGAAACGTCGATGTTTCGAGAAGGGAAAAAAGATGAAAATGGAAGGAGGATGGGGTGAAGCGGAGGGAAAAAGCGTGGATATTATAATCGATATTAAAAGAGTACGAAAACAGGCCGATGAAGGAAGCATTACGCGTGACGTAATCAGTCCATTTTCTCGCAAATGAAAAGAACAAACGTTATTGTTAGTGGCTGATAAGTGGAGACCGCTGGCCAGGTATTGGCTCGTATAAGACGTCCTACATCATTGCTCGTACATCAGTAGATACTCCACCATCAAACTCGCCAGCTATTCATCCAACGCAGCTTTAGTCTCTTTTCTTCGGCTTCCGTCTCGCGCGCTTTTTCTCGACGGATAAAGAAAAAAAAAAAGAAGAACGGAGAACCGAGGCGAGACACGAAATTTTAGAATGGATCCGGGAAGGGATTCGATTTCTTGAGAAAAAAAGAAAGAAAGAAAAAGCGAGACTTTTTTTGGAGAGAAGAATCAGAGAAGAAACGAAACACGATCGAAGACAAATTGGATCGATCGGGTTTATAAGGGAAGAGGAAAGAGCAGAAGTGAGAGTTTCGAGTAGTGAGTTCCCTCCGTGTTGTGTTCGTTTGACGCGAGCGGCGAAATAAGAAAAGAGAAGAAAAAAAAAAAAGTCGACGAAACAGCGGAGGATAAAAGACTTTTCTCTTTTTTTTTTGTTTTGTTAATCTTTTCAATAATTATATCGGAACAAACCGTTCAGAGATCGTGAGACGATAAGTGAAAGGCTCACCGGAGGAACGCAAATGCGGGAAGTAATCCCGTTTCTCCGCTGATTTTTTTCTTTTTTCGGAATATCGCTTCAACGAACGACGAATCTATTTCGCAATTATAAAATCGTGCGCGTTAAGAAAGATATATTTACGACTGTTACGAGTTTTTTTAGAAGAATCGACAAAAAAAAAGAAAGAAAGAAAAAAATAACAGATTATTCAGGTATTATCTGTCGAGGAAACGAAAATTTATTAATTAATTTCCGTATTTACGAAACGCGTGTGTGAAAGAAATTCTTTCGCTCGTCGATAAATCGTAAGTTGCCCGTTATCTGTACGAATCGCGTGAAAACGTTAAGATCGCGCTGGGGGGAAATGTTTGCACGATGCACAGAGAGGGGAAAAAAAAAATCCTTAAACCACTGATCCTTACCGATAAGAAACGAGGGATTGCGATTGCATCGTGAACGCATCGATATCTCGTTGCGAACACCGTCACGTACCGATCGTGCGAAGATTAGAAATTGGTCGAGGAAATCTACGAACGAGAAACTTTGCGATTATTTGGGCAAAGCATGAGGAGGAATATCGCAACGAGGAAAATCATCGTTGAAGTCGCGAGGTGAGATATTTCCGGCAAAAAGTCGTGATAAAAGGGAAAGAAAAGAAAAAGAAAAAAAAAAAAGAAAGGAAGAGAGGAAAAAGAAGAAGCAGAAATGAATGGGAACGTTGCGAAAGATCCAATTTCGAAGTCGTCCTCGCCGGATAGGGGGGAGGAGAAGGAAAAATTGTTGACATCGTTGAGCCAACCCGCACCTGTTATAGTAAAAGTGCAGAAGAGTTCGAATTCTTCCTCTTTCAGAAGCAGGTAAAATTTCAACACAGAATCGAGCACAATTTATCAATAAGCGGAATAAGTGGAAGCCTTTAGTTATTCGTCTACAACGAAAATTAATAAACGAATGTTATATTTTTTTTTTCGAACTCAATCCTCCCTCTGCCTCTCGCCATCCGTTAATTTAATTCGATACGCGATTATATTTCACACGTCTCCCTCCATCCTCGTTTCATTGTAACGAGGAAACAATTAAAATATAAATTCGCATACACGTTTCTCGTGAATTCTTTTTTTTTTTTTTCGCGCGTGGAATATCGTGCCATATCGTAGGTGTTAATTTAAGATTTCGGTTCGCGAGTCTGGGAATATTTTGAAAGAAAAGAATTTGGGAAGAATTCAAGGTCCGCTAAACTATTCCCTCTATTCTCGATATTTTCCTTCCAATTTTTACTTCCTATTTATTTTCTCTCTTTCCATTTAATATAAAATTAAAAAAAAAAAAAGAAAAATCGCCTTTGTTGTGAACTAGCGTTATCATTCTCGATAACAGTAGAACATAACATCAACCGATATCTCGACGAATTATTCGAGGTCGTGTAATATCACGTTCAACGAAGATCCAACGCTCGTTCTGCACGCGCGCGTGTGCGTGGAAATAGAAATCCAAATCGATTGGTCGCGCATATTTTTTTGAACGTGTAAAATTTTGCCAAATTCGGCGAAATCCTATCGAAACGTTTTAAACGAGAGACGTTAAAAACGAGAGGAGTCCGCGTGTCGACGAATCACCGATTGATTCACGCGTGGCAATAAATAAATTGGTAGATAACAGTTGCTCGGTTATCGTACGGAGTCAAAATGGCGACTTCCTTCTGGCGAGTATGAAAGGGTGGCGAGCGCGAAGGTCTCCAGACGGATCATCGAACTGGCCGCGGCGATATTCTCTACCACGCTCCCGTGCTCTCCTTCTCTCCTCCGCGATTGTTTTTCGAGATCGCTTTTTTCGAGATCGATCGAATCGTTCGCGATTTTTATTATCCGATTAACGCGAGTTGTTTAAAGTGTTTTTCAATCGGACTGGAGGACGCGGAAGAATCGAAAGCAAGTGGCAACAGTGCTGGACGATAAAACAATCGCACGTGGAATCATTTTTGCTCGTCGTTAAAAGGAACGGTCGAAACCGATCGTAAAAATGGGAACGGAACGGAATTCGGCGAAATTAAACTAATCGAAACGAATCAACCGAGCGGACAGATTCGTCGTCGTGAATAGACTCTCGATCGATCGAATGCGCGCTTCGGCTTTGGAAAGATAGTTCCGGAACAAAGATAATCGACGAAGTTTGTCATGGAAAGATTCGAGTTTCGAGATGTCGTAAAATGCGGAGAAATCCATCGTGAGTGTTTCTACTCTAGGAAGAAGAAGAAAAAGAAAAGAAAGAAAAAAAGCCCCATTTATTTTCGTAAATGGAATGTACACGTTACGAACCAGGCCATAAAATTTTTCCATAAACGCGTTTATCCGCTTAGCGGAATAAAAATTTCGCGTATTGCACGCACCTCGAGAAAATAACGATTTAAAAAACATCTATTTACGCGCAAATCTAGCGTACGGATTTTCATAACGAGTCCGTGACTCGTAATCGAATAAGGAGAGCGAGAACGAGAGGGCGGGAAACAATATCGGTGTACGAAATTTGTTATTCAAATCCGCGACAGATTCAAATTAAGTTGAGACGCGTGTACAAAAGTCTGCGAGGCCTTGGCGACAATTTCGTAGCGCGATCATCTTACGTCTCTCCGGACTTCTTGTTGTCGGGAAGATAATTTATTCCCTCTGTTGTTGTGCAAGAGAAGAAAAAAAAAAAAAAGAAAAAAATATCACATATTACGTACAGCGTAATTAGACGTTTCGCGATCGAAACGTTCGAGATTCGGTTCCACGTGCATGATTTATTTCGCATCTGTAACAATCCGAGGAATCTTTCGTGGAATAAGTCGTTATCGAACGCGCGATCTTCGTTGTTTTCGCGCAAATTGATCGTCGTATTTAGAGAAAAGAAAAAAAAAAAAAAAAAAAGGAAAACGATTTAAATTTTAATCTATCCTCTCGAACCAAACAAATATTTATGAAAAATACTCTTCTCGACGAGTTTTTTTAATTCGCACAGATATCTCTCGCTTTTTGCATACTTTTTATCGAAAGATCTAAAAACGATGTAAAAAAAAAAAAAAAATACCAGTTGACGGATCATTTTTGCAGGAGTCGGTATCGAGCATGGCCAACGCGAAAGCTACGTCGTCGCGCCGTGCTGAAGAACGGGGACTGCAACGTGCTCCAATCCCGTATCTCTCGACGTTCCCTGCGCTTCCTACGCGACATCTTCACGACCCTGGTGGACACCCAATGGCGATGGATGCTGCTCTGCTTCAGCCTGAGCTTCGTCCTCTCGTGGCTCGGCTTCGCCGTGATCTGGTGGCTGATCGCGTTCAGCCACGGCGACTTCGAGGAACGCCACCTGCCGCCCTACCAGATCGAGAACAACTGGACGCCCTGCGTGAACAACATATTCTCGTTCACGAGCTGCTTCCTGTTCAGCATCGAGACCCAGCACACGATCGGTTACGGGAGCCGAGGGACGACCGAGGAGTGCCCCGAGGCGATCTTCGTCATGTGCATCCAGAGCATCGTGGGCGTGATGATTCAGGCGTTCATGGTTGGCATAGTGTTCGCGAAGATGAGCAGGCCGAAGCAGAGGACTCAAACGTTGCTGTTCTCGAGGAACGCGGTCATCTGTCAAAGGGACGGTGAGCTGTGCTTGATGTTCCGGGTGGGCGACATGAGGAAGAGTCACATAATCGGGGCGGCGATCAGGGCCCAGTTGATCAGGTCGAGGACGACCAAGGAGGGGGAGGTGTTGTCGCAGAATCAACAGGAGTTGGCGGTGGGCACGGACGGTCAGAACGGGAACCTGTTCTTCATATGGCCGACCACGATCGTTCACAAAATAAACGAGGACTCCCCGTTCTACAACATGTCAGCGGAGGACATGCTGACGGAGAGGTTCGAGATCGTGGCCATCCTCGAGGGGACGATCGAGTCGACGGGGCAAACGACCCAGGCGAGATCGAGCTATCTTCCCCAGGAGATCCTTTGGGGTCACAGGTTCGAGCCGATGGTCACTTACTCGAAGGAGAGGCAGGGATACGAGGTGGATTACTCGTTGTTCAACAGCACAACGCAGGTGGGCACACCCCTGTGCTCGGGCAGGGAGCTCGCCGAATTTTACAAGGCTCAGGAGGAGCTTCGTCACGGGAACGGTAAGCGAGACGGTATATCAAAATGTATATATATATATATTATATTTCGCATATATTTAGAATAGAGAGTTTTAGTTTTGAACGCGTTCGATAGAAGATTAGAAGGCGACGCTGTTTGCATCCGATCTCCGATCAATCGATCGTGTTTCGCTGTAGGAAGAGCACGAACAAACACATGTTGATCCGTCGCAAAAAACGTTCGTTCGTGGGCAATTTTTAGCAGAGCGGAGTGTAATTAAAAATTTGCATCGCTCGATAACACACAACAAGCACTAACGACACGGCAAGGACGTCGAGCGCGTTTCGTTAATTGGGATGCACACGCGAATCAAACTAATCGATACCACACGCTGTGTCCTCTTTTCCACTCGCTTCGTCCCCTCCTCTCGCTCGCTCGAAAGCTTGCCGCTTCGCTTTTCTTCGCTTTTCGCCTCTCTCCCCCCTTCCCTTCCCCTCTCCCTTTCTCCTGTTTGCAACGCACGAGTTTCTCGGGAACGGGAAGTTTCACGGAAGTTTCATTTCCCTCCCTGTCTGACCTCTGTTTGGTGCTGGTGTGTAATCGTAGATGGAGGCCTGCGGAAAATTCCTAGCGAGCCGAAATCCGCGCCTGTGATATTGACCACCGACCACGCGGACGCCCCGGAGTTCCTTGCCTCTCAAGGACACTCTTCGCACGGATCGCCGAAACTTCGGATCGACATTCCATGGATCGACGATAACTCGGGGGCCTAGTCTGCGGAATCCCCTCGTTCAACCGATCCAACTGGAAAATACGTAGTCAGAGAGAGAGAGAGAGAGAGAGAGAGAGGAAGGAAACACG